TGTTTTTTTTTAATATATTTTATTGATTTTTTTACAGAGAGGAAGGGAGAGGGATAGAGAGTTAGAAACATCGATGAGAGAGGAACATGGATCAGCTGCCTCCTGCACATCTCCTACTGGGGATGTGCCCGCAATCCAGGTACATGCGCTTGACCGGAATTGAACCCGGGACTTCTCAGTCTGCAGGCCAACACTCCATCCACTGAGCCAAACCGGTTTCGGCAGTACTGCATTCTTTCAACTAGTATGTCACTGTACATTTTAATAAGGGGTGGTAAGACGGGGGAGCATATCCCCCACCCACAGATATTACTCTTCTTTTTTTTCAGAATTTACCTGGCTATTCCATGTTTATTATAATGGAGCTTTAGATTATTTTGTCAGTTCCTCCAAAAGTCTTATAGAGATACTAGAAGCCCAGTGCACGAATTTGTGCATGGGTGGGGTCCCTCGGCCTGGCCGGCAATTGGCCAGGGGGAGGGACTGCAGAAGGTTGGCTGGCCAGGGGGGAGGGACCTAGAGAGGTTGGCCAGCTGACCCAGTGAGGGACAGCGGGAGGTTGGCCAGCAGTGGGAGGTTGGCTGTGGGAGCGCACTGACCACCAGGGGTCAGCTCCTGCATTGAGTGTCTGCTCCCTGGTGGTCAGTGCACATCACAGCGACCAGTCGTTTGATCATAAGGGGCGCTTAGGCTTTTATATAGATAGGTAACTCAAATTGACTGAATCTATAGATTAAGTAGAACTGATGTTTTACATGTTTTTCCTTCCAAATAAATTATGCCTAGCCCTAACTGGTTTGGCTCGGTGGGTAGAGCGTCGGCCTGCAGACTGAAAGGTCCCAGGTTCGATTCTGGCCAAGGGCATCTACCTTGGTTGTGGGCACATCCCCAGTAGGAGGTGTGCAGGAGGCAGCTGATCGATGTTTCTCTCTCATTGATGTTTCTAACTCTCTATCCCTCTCCCTTCTGCTCTGCGAAAAATCAATAAAATATATATTTTTAAAAATTATGCCTGTACCTGTCCTTTTACATTAGACAGCACTTTGTAGTTTTTCCATGTAGATCTTATATATAGCTATGTTCCCCCCAAGCTAGTTTAGGTTTGTAATTGCTATTATGACAGAGCTCTTCCTTTACATCTCCTAGAGAGTGCCATTTCCCTCCTTCAGTGGTTAATTTTACCAGTATTCCTCTCAGAAGGTGGCCTCAAGCCCTTGGTTCTTCAGTTCTGTGGCCATCCCCATGCTGCCTTCTCCTGGCTGACCACAGCCACTAGAGGGCAGTGGGAGCTGCCAAGGCTACAGCACCCTCGCCAGCACTGAACACATTCCATTCCTTCCTTGTCCCACCTCTAGAGGCCACTACTTGTGCTCAGTGTATGGGGCTCGGCTGATGGTACCAGCCGGCCGGGGGCTCATCGTGGTCATCTCCTCCATTGGGGGGCTACAGTATCTCTTCAATGTTCCTTATGGCGTGGGTAAAGCTGCGGTAAGAACCCAGGGGCACAGGGGTTGGGGCTGTATAGGACAGTGATGGTACCCAGTCAGTTCGGGAGTTAAATCCCCAGTGATCAGAGTGGGAGGCCAACTTCACCTTTCCTCCTGCCCCTCCACGGACAGTTCCTTCACCTGGCTCCTCTGCTGGGCAGAGTAAGTAGTGCACTGGGAGAGATGGCCACTGAGACAGGGCGCCTAGGAAGGGCATGGGACGGGGACATCTGCAGCCAAAGCAGGGAGGGCAGGGGAGGAAGGTGACATGGCCAGTGCCCCGGCTCTCACCCTGCCCTCTCTCTCTGCAGTGTGACAGGATGGCTGCAGACTGTGCCCAGGAGCTGCGGCGCCACGGGGTCAGCTACGTGTCTCTCTGGCCAGGGTTGGTGCAGACAGAGCTGCTGAGGGATCACTTGGAGAAGAGTGACACTGGCGAGGACCTCATGTTTAAGCAGGTTGGCCAGGGGAGGCTGAGGTGGCAGAGAATGCAGGGGAATCAGCTCCCCATCCTTAATGTCAAGACAGTAACAACAGCAAGGAGCAAAGACCCGGGTGCTACCATGGCAGTAAATTATGGGGCTGAGCACTGTACACACGGAATGTCCTCTAATCCTGTAAGGGAGATAGTATCTTCTTTTTATAGATAGTGAAACTGAAACCCAGAGAAGTAAGAAACTTGCTTAAGGCCACGGATGGCTTAAGTGGAAAGACTGCCCACCTCCATAGCCCATGGTCATGACCCCACAGTGTACTATCCTAGAAGGTCAACATAGTTGGCTTCCCCAGATCCTTCCACTTAGGAAAGACAGTGGGTCCTAGTGCTGGGATACAAGGCTCACAGGGATGTGGGGAGGAATGGCTCCAGCACCTTCCGAGATGCTGAGTCCTACAGGTGCACGATGAGGGCCTCTGCTCTGGAACAGAAGTGAAAGCAGAGGAGAGACTTGGGCAGTGCTCTGAGAAACTAACCCTTCACTTCTCTGCTCCTGTGTTTCAGCTCAAAATTCATTTCTCATCCGGGGAGACCACGGAAATGAGTGGCAAATGCGTGGTGGCTTTGGCAACAGGTGAAGAGGTTGGGGGCAGCTGGTAACAAGAAGGGCCTGCAGCGGTTCTCAACCTGTGGGTCGCGAACAATGAAAACCCATCCTGCATATCAGATATTCACATTACAATTCTTAACTAGCAAAATTACAGTTATGAAGTGGCAACAAAAATAATTTTATGGTTGGGGGTCACCACAACATGAGGAACTGTATTAAAGGGTCGCGGCATTAGGAAGGTTGAGAACCACTATCTGCAGGGTGGTGCCAGCCAGTGCTGGGGCCTGGCTCAGGAGGTGGTTGGGGAATAAACCATTCTTTTCTCTGGCTTCTGGAGTCCCACAGGGTCAGGATTCCCAATTTTTGAGGATTGGATGCCTCAAGAACTAGCTCCTAGGAGGTATGGCCAGAAGCCAGAGGCTCGGGAACAGAGAGAAACAATTCTGGTCTTCTAAGCCTGTCTCAGTAGTGCCCTGTCCCATTGGGCCCAAACCTCGTCACCCTGCACCACTGCCATGCCATATCAGCTGTGTGTGCCCACAGACCCCGATATCCTGAGCCTGAGCGGGAAGGTGCTGCCATCTTGTGACCTTGCTCGACGCTATGGCCTTCGGGATGTGGATGGTAAGAGCTCTACCCCAGCATCCAGCCTGGACCTCTCTTCCTTCTGTGTCTTGCTCACCCCGTTCCTTCCTCCCTCACATCCCACTTGGTCAGTCTCTTCAGCCAAGGAGTGGGAAATGAGGGTCTAATCCTCCTTCTCTTCCTGTTGTCCTCAGGCCGCCCCATCCAGGACTATTTGTCTTTGAGTTCGGTTCTCTCCCAAGCCACCAGCCTGGGCTGGCTGGCCTCCTACTTGCCTGGCTTCCTCCGTATGCCCAAGTGGATTATGACCCTCTACACAAGCAAGTTCTAATCCTCCTGGCCTGAGGCCGCCACTCTGTCTTTTCATTGGTTATGGGCAGCTGAGCCCCGCTCAGTGGAACAGGCAGCCTTTCCCACCCACCAAGTGCCCCTGATACAAAGAGAAGGCCTCTGTGTGTGTGTCCCCGGTGAGCCCTGGGGTCCCATAGGTCCTTCTTTGTGCCTTGGTTTTCCTTGTCCCTACATTTTACTTTTTGCTTAAGTTTTGAAAAATGTTCTTGGTACTAATAAAGTTCTCATTTCTCCAACACATTTGTGTGCTGATTCTGTACTGGGCCAGTTGATAACTACTTGAGAGAAAGACTCACAGGTACCCAAAATGGAGTTCGGTCCCTGGGACAAGGCCCCTTCCTCCAGATCTGTCCATCTCAGGGGCATTTGCCATTGGCCCAAAGGCCTGTTTCTCACACCTCAGCTGGGGAGTGGGCCTCTCCACAACCAGAAGCAGGCTTTCTCAGCCTCACTGCTTCCCTGCCCCTTCAGTCCACCCTCTTCAGAGATGCCTGCTGCTTCCAGCTGGGCCTGATCCAGTGAGCGCATGTTCCTCAGAATTGAGGATTTTCGGAATTTGGGAGGGAACTACTGCCTGAATTCAAGTGAGGGGCAGAGGAATAACTGATGGAACTATCACCCCCATCCTTCCTCTCGGGATGATACCACCTGAATTACTTACTGGAGAACTAATTGCAAGAGCCCTTTAAGGCAAGGCAACAGAGGTTGTGTTCCAAAGAGGAGCCGAGGGCCACTGGCGGGGGGAGCCCTCCAGCCAGCAGCCGAGATGGCCATGGAGGTAAAGGGATAGCGGTTGTAAAGCAGAGGGGCAGAGACCAATGCCAGTCTTCAGAAAAGGCAGGGTCAGAGCTGAGGCCTCCCGAGGCTGCCCGTGGTATCTGCAGCAGCTGCCGTCTTCCTGTGGCTTTCTGGGGACAGCCTGCTTACTGTTCACTTGGTTGCCGTGGCGCTCACTAGCTTGTGAGAGCTGACGATGCCCAGTTCTGCCAAGTCTGCAGTCAGTGACTGCATGGTGGTTGCTTAAAGTCAGCCATAGTGGGAATATATACCACAGACATCAACAAAGCAATTAATCAGGGCCCTTTTTTAGAGAGAGAGAGCTGGCTTATCAGCACATAGCTAGAACTGTGTACCTAAACCCCACCATTTGCCCAGGCACCACATTTAGATGAGTGATCAGATTTCCTCACCATACTCTCACCCACTTCCACCGACAACTTTATATTCCTGTTACTGCCTTTCGGCTTTCGGCTCAGAGGAGGCTCAGGTGCAGCTTTCTTTGGTCGTCCTGAATCCGGGTTCATCCGACACCAGCTGCCTCCACCATGCCACCGAAGTTCGACCCCAAGGAAATCAAAGTCGTATCCCTGAGGTGCACCGGTGGGGAAGTGGGTGCCACGTCTGCCCTGGCCCCCAAGATCGGCCCCCTGGGCCTGTCTCCAAAAAAGGTTGGTGATGACATCACCAAAACAACCAGTGATAGGAAGGGTCTGAGGATTACAGTGAAACTGACCATTCAGAACAGACAGGCCCAGACTGAAGTAGTGCCTTCTGCCTCTGTCCTGATCATAAAAGCCCTCAAAGAACCACCAAGAGACAGAAAGAAGCAAAAAAAAAAACCACAACAACATTAAGCACAGTGGAAATATCACTTTTGATGAGATTGTCAGCATTGCCCAACAGATGCAGCACTGATCTTTAGCTAGAGAACTCTCTGGAACCATTAAAGAGATCCTGGGGACTGCCCAGTTGGAGGGCTGCAATGTTGATGGCCGCCACCCTCATGACATCATAAATGGTTTCACAGTGGTGCAGTGGAATGTCCCGCTAGTTAAGAACTACAGAGGAAAACATTTCAATTAAAGATTATTTGACAAGCAGTGGGGAAAAAAAAATTCCTGTTATCCCCCAAGGTTTGTGAGGGAAGAGGCAGTTGCCTATATGCTATAGTAAGAAGAATAAGGACCTCAGGATCTTCTCCATCCTTCCACAGCCACCATTAAAGCCATTAATGGGCCTGGCCAGCATGGCTCAGTGGTTGAGCGTCGACCTATGAACCAGTAGGTAATGGTTCAATTCCTGGTCAGGGTACATGCCTGGGTTGCAGGAGGCAGCCAATGATTCGCTCTCATCGATGTTTCTATCACCTTTCTCTCTGAAATAAATAAAATTATATATTTTTTAAAAAGCCATCAATGGAACAAATCCTTGTTTGATGGCCTTGTCTCCTAAAGGCCACAAGGTATTTTGGGAAGAACATGATCTTAAAGTCATCCAAATCTACATATAAATCCTGACTCTACCACTTTGGGAATTACATAGAATATCATATAAGCACCAAGCAGCCCAGCTGGAATTGCTCAGTGGTTAGGCATCAACCTATGAACAAGGAAGTCACAGTTGAATTGCCGGTCAGGGCTTATGCCCAGTTGGGGGCTCGATCCCCAGTGGGGGGTGTGCAGGAGGATTCTCTCTCATCATTGATGTTTCTATCTCTCTCCTTTCCTCTCTAAAAGCAATACAAATATATATATATATTTTTAAAAGCACTAAGCAATATATAGCTCTGAAACAGTTTCTTCTCTCAACAAATATTTAGGAGCATCCTCTGCATCAGGCACCATTCTTGGTGTTGGGAGAATGGAGAATAAGACAGACCAGGCCCCAGCCTTCACAGGACTTTCATTTCAGCCCTGGATGATCTTAGAAGTCATATACACCTTCCACTTAGTGAAAGAAGTGAGCAAACTGGGCCTCCAAGAGTCCACACCACACAGAGTTAGACTTTGAGTTTCTGGTATCCCAAGATACCAGAAGGAACAGTGTTCTTTATAGTCCACCATCCTGCTTTCCTCCGACAAGATTTAATTAATCTTAGCAACATAGCAATAGAGTACAGAGCTCTGAGAATGAAGCAGGGACAGTGAATTTTGATTGGAGGTTGAAGAGATTCAAGACTGAGAAGCCCAATAATGGAGAGTCTTAGGACATTTGGGGAATTGATATCCATTTAAAAACATTTAAATGCACCTACTCTGTGCCCAGCACCATGCTAGGCATCAGGGAAGACTAGTTAAATTTAGCAAGATGGGTCCTATAATAAAGTTTACACACAGTATCCTGAGGAAGCAATTAGCTCCATTAGAGAGTTAAAGGAAATGATATTGACCAGAGACGTAAAGAATGGGGGGAGAGGAATAAAGAGGCTCAATTTTTTTTAATTTAAAAAAAGGCTGGTACTAAGATATAAAAATGTGACAGAACAGAATAGCCAGAACTTTGGTGTGTGTTAAATTTAGATGTGATATGGAATAGATTTCCAGAGAGAAAGGTGAGTCAAGACAGGTGATTTGAACTTTAAGTTGTGGACAATATGTTTCCACTGAAGGATTCATCATTCTTTTAAAATATATTTTATTGATTTCCGAGAGGACGGGAAAGGCAAAGAGAGAGAGAAACATCAATGATGAGAGAGAATCATTGATCAACTGCCTCCTGCAAACCCCCTACTGGGGATCAAGCCCGAAACCCAGGCATGTGCCCTTGATCGGAATCAAACTTGGGACCCTTCAGTCCGCAGGCTGACCCTCTATCCACTGAACCAAACCAGCCGGGGCGAGGGATATGCTGAGTGACGTACTATTACAGAAGTACTCCCAGTGGGTAAGTGAGGGCTGTGGGCCGATAACCAAGCCAGTCACCCAAACAGCTCTGGAATGTAAGGCCTCAGGGCAGCCCAGCCTGGGGCAGTCACTGGTTATGCTGTGGTAGAGGAGCTACCACAAGGCCAAGAGCAATTCTCCAAGAACCGAAGGTGCCAACCTTGAAAGCACACTGAGGGGAGTGTCGTGCACAGAAAATGCAGAGGGGCATCCAGGGGGATGTGGGCAGAGCACTAACACTGTCAGCTTCGGGAGGATTTAAGCAGCAGAGCAGTGTGATAAGATTTGTATTTAGGAAGCTCACTGGGACTGAAATACGGAGCGGATAAACCAGGAGAGGCAGGCATCAGAAGAGCCAACATACCATATCCAGGATGTGATGGTAGTGGAGGTGTGGGCTAAGGAGACATGGCAAGAGGCAGAGTCAACAGACTGGGGCCTATGGGAAGGGAAGGGAAGCTATGATAGCCGGACTACTGTGGTGTTACCGCTGGCATGGGGAACCATGAAAGCAGCAGCGGGCACAGAGAAAGAATGTACCTGAGCTGCGAAGGAGGTGCCAGCTTGCCTGAGTGGGACACTGAGGAGCTGGCTGAGGTGCAGGCAGCCCCTCCCCTCACCAGCGTGGCCAGTCCCCAGAATATGACCAGTCCCCCAAAGCATCCCAGGGAGGGAGTGAGAAGAGAATTTTTATTTGCTCTTTTTTAAAAAAATTATTTTTAATCCTCACTCAAGGATAATTTTTCCATTGATTTTCAGAGAAAGTGGAAAGAAGTGGGGGGAGATTGAGAGAGAAACATCATTGGTTGCCTCCTGCACGCTCCCCAGCAGGAGCTGGGGATTGAAAGTGCAACCCAGGTACATGCCCTTTGGTGAGCAAGCTGGCGCTCTAACCACAGAGCAATGCCAGCGAGGCTTTATTTGCATTTTTAATTTTTTCTTTATTTTTTTAATCAGAGAGGAAGGGAGAGGGAGAGAGATAGAAACATCAATGATGAGAAAATCATTGATCGACTGCCTCCTACATGCCCCCCACTGGGGATCAATCACATAACCTGGGCATGTGCCCTTACCAGAATCAAACCTGGCACCTTTCAGTCCAAGGCCAATGGTCTATTCACTGAGCCAAACCTGCTAGGGCTGCATTTTTAATTTAGATTTTTTATTTTATTTTTATTTTTTAAATATATTTTATTGATTTTTTACAGAGAGGAAGGGAGAGGGATAGAGAGTTAGAAACATCGATGAGCGAGAAACATCAATCAGCTGCCTCCTGCACACCCCCCACTGGAGATGTGCCCGCAACAAAGGCAGACACTCTATCCACTGAGCCAAACCGGTTAGGGCAATTTACATTTTTTAAAGGTCACATATTTATGTGGCTCAGAATCTAAAAGGTATAGAAGAGTGTACAGTGAAAAATAGTGAAAAGTCCCCTCCTATCCCTGCCCTTGAGTGCCCAGTCTCCAACTCAGAGGCAAGACAACTAGTGCTACCAATAGACAAATCAAGGTGAGGTGATTCGGCCCAAACTTGTCCTTCCTCACCCTGGCTGCTACCCACCATGGCCCCCAAA